GCCGGGGAGGGGAAGTAAGGGTGGGGCAGTGGCCAGAGGTGGCGGTGGGGTGGGGTCTCCAGGCCGGGCTGGGGCTGGGGCTGGGGCTGGGTGATGCTCACCGCCCGGCTCTGGGGCTGGCCGCGGGGAGGGCTCTGGGCTGGGCTGGGGCAGACCGGGGAGCTCGCTGGGCCCGGCTGGGGATGCCGATTCCGGGCCCCACCGAGCCGTGCTCGTCTCAGCGCTGCTATGTGACGGCGATGGCGGCCGCCGCGACCCAGGCCCGGCGCGGTAACGATGGACCGGGAGCGGGGGAGCGAGCGGGGCTCGCAGGCGGGCCGGGCCGGGCCGGGCCGGGGGAGCCGCGGCAGGTCACCGCGGGGCCGGGCAGCGCCGGGAGCTGGGCTCGCAGCCGAGCTCCGGGAGGACGCTGCGGGGCTTTAACCCGCCGCCCCCCGCGAGCCCGGCGGGCTCGGCTCGCCCCCTGCCCGGCTCGCCGTGCAAACACGGGCCGCTCGGCGGAGCGGCTCCCGGGCCCCGCTTAAGGTGGGCTGGGCTGGGCTGGGCTGGGGGCGGCCTGACCCCCGGCCGGGGCCCGGGCCCGCCGCCCGCGCTGGCGGCCGCCGGCGGGTTTGGGCCCCGGGCGCTGGAGGGGGGCAGCTTCCCGGGGGGGCTGCGGCAGCGGCCCCCGCGAGCCCCACGGGCCACCTTAAGGGGCTGTGTCGGCCCTGCCGGGTGGGAGGCTTCGGCGAGCACATGGGGCTGTTCGAGTAGGCGGCCGGGCCCTGGGGAGGGGAGCCCGGCTCCAGGCTCGGCCCTTCCGCGGGTCCCTGCCCCGGGCAACGGCGGTGGGGCGAGGGGCTGCAGGGAGCAGCCTGGGCCCCGCTGGGCTGGGGGGACCTCCCCTCTGGCGGCCTCCGGCCCCGCACTGGCCGGGCTGCGCTGGCCCCAGGCAGGTGCCTTAACAAGCAGCCCGTCTCCTGCCCGAGCCCCCGCCCTGCCCGGCCGTCACCCCCGCGGGCAGCCGCAGCCAGCGCCCGTGCGTGGGCCGGGGTCCGGCTCCTGGCAGGCTGGGCCCGCAGCCGAGAGGGAGCAACTGCCTCCCTTCCCGTGGCAGGGAGAGATCCCTGGGGGAAGGAGCAGAGGGAACAGGCCTGCCAGGCGCTGCTCTGGAGAAGTAGGATGGCCCAGTGGTCCGGGCACTCGGCTGGGATTGACCTTTCAGTTCAATTCCCTGCTCTACCCAAGGCCTTGCCTGGCTGGGAAAGTGGCCTGGGCCCAGACCCTGGAGGCAGGGAGATATTTTTGGAAACCAATGGAAGGCTCTGGGCCTCAGTTCCCATCTGTCAGTGTGGGGATGATGCCCAGCCTGACCTCCCCCGGGGGCATGAGGATCAGTGCGTTGGAGTCAGGAGGTGCCCAGGTATCCCGGCGATGAGGGCCATGGATTGTCCTTCAGTAGCGTCTGCACAGGTCCAGAGTGGGACAAGCTCCAAGGCTGCTGTGAGCACCTCACGGCCACGACATAGCAAACATCTTCCTGACCCTGGGCGAATGCGCCTGGCGGAACCTGCAGGCGACTCCATGGGCTCTCACGACCCAGAACTGTCTCTGGGGCCCAGCTGCTTACAATTAGCCCTCGGGGCTCCCGACTGGGACTGTGTGGGAGTGAAAGTGAGCGCACAGGGGCTACACAGGGTGGGGAGGGGAGGCTCATTCTCCCCTGGTAGCCTGAGGGTCCTGGGAACTTTCACAAGTTCTGTACTTAGTAACTGACTGCTCGAAGATCCTCGCATGTGGACAGGGTAGATGCCATAGGCAGGGCCTGCTGTTCCATTTCCTTTTGCCAGCTAAAAGTCTGTCCCCTGACTCTCAGGTAAGCTGTGGCAATTACCTGGGGGAGGGGGGTAAATTATGTGCTCTGCCTTGGCAGGGGGACTGGTTGTACAGCCAAAACCAGGGCTGCTGTGTGTGCGCACAACTCCCATGCTGACATTGGGGCCAAAATAGCTCTGCTGGCCTCCAGCTCTTCTTTAAGGAGCTTTAATCGCTGTGGGCTGCCTCTGAGAATCCCTTAGGGCGTCTGCTCCTTGATAAGGAGATTCTGGATTTGCACAGTGCCCTGTACAACTCAGTTCTCCAACCCAAGGCAGAAGTACCCACAGCCAAATTCACTTTTGCTGGCCTGCTTTAGGCCACAACAGCTGTGGTGAGCTCCCTGAAGCCTAGCTGCAGTAAGGTGTTAGCAGGTCACCGCCAATGGAAACTGCTAAACAGTGGGCCAGTGTAATCTCTGGTGTAACTCCATTAAGTTAAAGGAGTTACTCAAGGGCTGAATTAGCCCTGTGTTTTTCTTAATCTCTGGGTTACCTAGTCTCACTTGGTATTCTTTAAATTCACTGTGTGTGGGATGTTGCCAGGTGTTTTAATGAAGCAATTAACCATTTGCTTTCCAACTCACCCAGCCTGGCTGCCTTGTAGCAGGGAGGGGAGTTAAGATACTTGGACCAATCAAATCCCTCTTTGTGATTGTCCTTCCACATTCTGACAGGTTTCAGAGGAACAGCCGTGTTAGTCTGTATTCGCAAAAAGAAAAGGAGTACTTGTAGCACCTTAGAGACTAACCAATTTATTTGAGCATGAGCTTTCGTGAGCTGTAGCTCACGAAAGCTCATGCTCAAATAAATTGGTTAGTCTCTAAGGTGCTACAAGTACTCCTTTCCTTCCACATTCTGTCCACACAAACCTTATCTAACTCATTGCAGTGTGAATGGTAAGGCATTGTGGAGGGACCCTGCTGCTGTGCAGAGCCCAGGATACTGCTCCTAAAGCCAGGAAGCAAAAGGAGAGCATGCTAGCTGCAGGGCTCCAACAGGTGATGCATGGGAGGCGAGGGACAGTTTTCAGACAGCTGCATGTCATCTTCACAACTCTGGGCCCAGTAAGGATAATACCTGCTATGTGGCGCACCTCCTGGCTTAGGTGCTGTAGGGACAAGCCCTTCCCAAGCCCACTGCAGTGATTGGGGGGATGTGCTAGAAGTTGCTCCTGTTCTGTAACACTAGAAGAAAAGGAGTACTTGTGGCATCTTAGTACTCCTTTTCTTTTTGTGAATACAGACTAACACGGCTGTTACTCTGAAACCTGTAACACTAGAGTTTGTCCTGAGGGGGAGAGCAAGACAAAGTCGCTTCCCAACCACACAACGCTCTCCTCTAAAGCAGCATTCCAAAATGCTGTGAAGCAATGTTTGCTTTGGGAAGGCCTGTAAGTTTCTCTGATGCATTCTCCTGCCCCAGGCTATTTGATTTGACCTGTCAGTGTTTTGTTTCCGTTATTGACAGTGATTGTGAAATCCATGTCTCCTTCCACTGCTCAGCTGTGAATATTCTAGACAAAGCAGGTGTGGATGTTATCTCTAAGCCTTACTAAGATCATGGCTGCTTCAACTGGAAATAGAACTGTGGCTTCCAAAAAACCCATTCCTCTTGTATATCTACAGCTCCTGATCTTATTCTCTTTGCCTGAGTGCAGCCAGAACTGCTCTTTCTCTCCTACCAATGGGACCCAGTATCTCCTGCCTCTGTTCTCTTCCATGGAGTTGTTTAGCCTGCTCCATCCATAGTGGTCAGCACTCTTCCTTCTTCCTCTCTGAATTCCAGTCACAGTTACTCTCCTAATTGTCAAAACTCTCACCGGGCATTTTCTTTTACGGACATAAAAAGCTGCTGCCAGAGGATCTCCATATTGCCCTGACTTGAGAGCTCGTTCCTGGACTGCGTCACATCGGGCCCTGCTCCTGTTGCACAGTGACTGCCCCTTCCGTATTCTCTACCTTCTTTCCTCTTTGTAAAGATAGCAGGGAATATCAGAGCAGCCAGACTGGGTCAGACCAAAGGTCCATCCCAGTGTCCTATCTGCCGACAGAGGCCAATGCCAGGTGCCCCAGAGGGAGTGAACAGAACAGGGAATCATCAAGTGATCTATCCCGTTGCCCATTGCCAGGCTCTCTCTCTCCTGGTTATAGAAAGGTCTATCCTATCAACTAGCAGGAAACTCCCCACCCCTAGTGCTGACAACTGTATATTGTAATTGTTTTATATGAAACCAGTGTTGGTGATATATGTAGGATGGAATAGGCCCTTTAGCTAGGTTTTCTACCTCCCCAACCAACTCTTTCTTCCCTAGATACATAATGTTTCTGTCTTATGCTGAAATTCTATCACAAGAAATAGATACTGTTGTCAGATCAGTGAGGGCACAGGGGTTGGGGGCCTATTACTTGCTTTTAATTCTTATTTCATCCTCCTACAGGCTTGACTTAGTCTTAAAAGGACAGGATGTTGCTTGACTTTATGGGGAAAAAGTCAACTTTCAGCCTTTATTTCTCACGTATCTGCCTTTTCTACCATGAAGGGTGTGGGGAGAAGGTGTTAAATCAGACATGTAGGGCTGGAAGGGGCCTCAGAAGGTCGTCTATACCATTCTGCCGCCCCCGGGGCTGGCATGCAAAACTAAACATTAAATTACTACTGAGCAACCCATGGACGTTGGGACCAATGTGTAAAGTAGAGGCTAGTCTCAAAGGCACCTAGGCAGTGATATCAATAGCAAGAAACTAAACCACAGGCCGGCTCTCTTTTGTGTAAGGAATGACAGTTTCTTCCTGCGCCTGGCTTTCTCCGGTCCAGCCGGACGTTCGGGTTCTCCCATTGCAAAGCGCTATGTAACCGTTGGGTTAAAAGTGTTCCCGGGAAGCGGAGCCTGGGGCTGGCATGGGACGGGCTGAGGCTGTTGGCCTTGGCTCGGGGCCCGGCCTTCCCCCTGGCAGGGGCCGGCGCTTTCTCCAGGGCAGGGTGGTTGATGACCTGGCTGTGAGGGGCTGGGACAGGGCGCTGTGCAGCGCCATGCACCTGGCCAGGCCTGGCCCAAGGCTTGCAAGGGCCCGCCAGGCCCAGTGCGGTGAGGGGGGGGGTCTGGAATCTGCCCCACACTGGGCCGGGCCAAGGTGCCCCCGGGCGCTAGCAGCAGGCAGGGCGGAGCCTGGGGCCCCCAGCCCCGGCGCACGGCCCCTTTAAGGCGCAGGGCGGCTCCGGGCGCGGAGCTCTCGCGGGGCTAGGGGGCCGCGCTCTCGCGAGGCCGGGGCTGAGCGCTGATTGGCTGCGGGGGGTTGAATGTAAGATGGCGCCCAGGGAGCTGTGAGGGGAAAAGAGTCGGGCCGAGGCGGTGGCGGAGCGAGGCGGCGGCGGGGCCAGGGTGAGGCGGGGCCGGGCTGGGCCGAGCGGCGGCGGAGCGGGGTTTGCCGGGCCGGGGGACGTGGGCTGCGGCGGCTGGGCCGGGCGCGGCCTCCCCTCACGCGGGGGGAGGCGGCGGCGGTGGTTCCGGGGGCGGCGCGGCCCCGACGGGGAGGCGCGGGCCCGAGGAGTCCGGCGCGGGCCCGTTTGTTGTGTGGCGCTGCCGGGAGCGCGCGGCGACCCGAGACACCCTGTGCCCGCGCGAGGCCCGTTGGCCTCCCGTGAGAGGAGGGGCGCGCCCACGCGCGCCCACCCCCTCCCCCAGCCGCGGGGCGGCCCCTTCCCGCGCCGCTGTTGCTGTCGGACACGCGCACGGGGCCGCTCGCTCCCGGCGGCGGGGGCGCGCTCGTCTCCCTGGGGCCTGGCTCGCCCGGCCCGGGCATGCTGGGGGGGGGGCGGGGGCGGGCCTGTCCCGTCCCGGGGGGCAGGGTGTTGCTCTGCCGGGCTGCGCCGAGCACGGCGCCGGCGGGGCTGGGGGCGAGAGCGGCGTGGGGCTGCGCGGGGGGCCTGCTGCCGCCGCCGCGGCTTGCGCCGGGCCCCGCTGCGCAGGGACCCGCCCGCCAGGCCCGCGGCCCCGGAAAGAAGCCTGGCGAGCTGCAGCCGGGCCCGCCCGCGGGGTCTGGGGCCGGGGGTCAGCGGCGGGTCAGCGCGCCTGTCATTTCTCACTCCGCATCCCCGTTGTCGGCCGGTCTGGTCTGGAGACTACTTTGGCCTGCAAGTGGTGTATCGCCACCACGACCCGCTACAGTGCGACTGGGTCAACTCTTGCTTTTAAGAAACTTCAAGATAAGATATACAGTAGATCTTCAGACCAGGCCTGGTATAGTCAGAGCCTTGTAAAGATCCAAGTGCTAAGGCTCCTGAGTCCAGAAATCTCTACTTTAGAGACAAAGCAAGGGTCATAGTTGCTTATATGCAGTGAAAACTGTTCAAGATCAACCTTACTAAGCAATCTCCTGTCCTAGGGGACCCCTGCAAATTAATTGAGTACAATCTTGCTGCTCATTTATTGGAAAACCTCTCCAGTAAGCATCTGATGTGTCAGTCTCTTGAGTGGTCTCTTAAGAAAGTTTTGCTGTATTGCACAAAACCTTAGTATATTTTGTAAAGTGGATGAGTGGTTTAGTAAAGTACTAATTAAGTCTGTTTACAGTTGTGTTTATTAGCTGCAGCAAGAGAAGAAGATATTTTATATAACTAAATTAAGAAGGTTTAAAAAATCTTGAGGTGTAACCCACCATTTAACAGATATGCATGGAGTTTAGCCTTCTCTTCATTTAACAAAGTGACTTTTTTTTAAAAAAGTTTTTATCTCCTCAGAGAGCCTTAATTGGACTACTGGTCCCCAGCTCTGCCTAGTTACTCTGTTCTACCTTGAACACTTGTGAGGAGAAAGGAGCAAGAAAAGGCATCTGGACCTTATGGCAATATTTTTTTTCCCCACTGCCTTGTTCTAAGTTTCAATAACTCCAGTGTCCATTAAAAATTATGTAAGTTCCAGCACAGTTCTCTGTCTTAGAGAAGAACATTCTGTACTATGCAAAAGATGTACATGGAGAGCTTAATATGTGTTCTTAAGATCTGGAAGTAAAACGAACTGGTTAGGAAATGGGCATGTCTTGTAGTAATTAGTTAGGAATTCTCTATTAAGGGTGTAGCATTATTATGATAATATTCATTTTGTGTTTATTTCATTGTCTTTTAAAAATACAATTTAACTAAAAAATAACCAAAAAACTGGGGATAGAAAGGGCTTCTTTGTTCTGTCTTCTCCAGAATGTTACAAGTCTAAGAGCTCAGGACAAGTGCAGCAGAAATACCTGCAACATGGTGACTGGTGAGTCCAGATAGTCCACCTGCTGCAAATCTGTGTGTACATTTTCAGTATCTTTAGTCTCTAAGTTTAATGAACTAACCACTTATGCTCATGAACTTGGACTATTTTCCAAATCCTATTTAGTGGAAAATGCAATTAAGCTGAAAAGGGAGGAATTATATCCATGTATCCAAGCAGTAACCTTTGCTGAACAGTTTAAAAATGCATTCTGCCAAGTTTTAGTAGTGATGAGTATTCACTTCATTTTGAAATGGACTGTACATAATGGATAAACTGAGTGCATAAACTGATCTATCCTGATATTTTAATAGCTAATGGTAAAGATGTTGTCTGCCTGCCGGTACAAATTTGCGTACATTCTAGTATAAATGTTTTTTTGCTGTTGAACGCAATACTAACTTTGCATAAAGAGAATTATATTGTGTGTGTGCTTGGAAACCTGTAGAAGTTTTTATTTTAAAAAATAAAAAATATATTTGTTAATGCTGAGTAGTAAACATGCCTGTGGGGAGGTGGTATGTTAGGTAGTCAAAGGGAGAGGCTTAGTTCTTTTTGTGATTTTTTTTTTTAAACTTCTACTCCATTACAATGGAAAAAGAAGGCTTCAAAACATGTTACCTTCCTGAATCTACTGCCAGCACTAATAACTCTGCTGTTGCTCATTCTTTTGCCAAGGGGCAGAAGAGTGAAACTAACAAGATCCTGATCAGTTTTACTGCAGTTCCATATTTCTGTAGATAGCCTTGAAATTGACAAGAATTTGGTAAGGTCAGTTTAGCTCAGCTGCTGATTAGAAAAACTGAGACTTGTTTTTAAATTCGCGATATAAATAAAAAGGGAGACTATAGGAATGGAGCACTAGAGATTCCAGTCTGCCTCTTTCCCAATCTCTCAGAACGTTGGGAGAGGTAGAATAGCAGAGACTCCCCAACACTTTGGTGCAAGGACCATCTTTGTTCTGTTTGTACAGTATCTAACGTAAGGGGGTCCTGGTCCATGACTAACGCTCCTATGCACTCTGGATATATGTATATTAGATAATACTCTGAAGGTGCTTAGATACCACAGTGATAAATGCAATGTAAGAACTTAGTAGAACAGCTGTTAGGCTCTGGGATTGGGAGGGAGAGAAAAAGGAAAGCTTCCTTCCAGCAGACTGTAGGGGAAGTAAGAGTGAGCTTCTGATTTTAGGTGACTGCTAGTCTGAATCTAATTGAGAGATTGAACACCTGATTGAGGTCAAGAGACAGTAAGTAAGAATCCCAGCACTTGTTCTACTTCCCAGCTATTGGAAGTAGTGGATGGAAGCTTAGTTCTCAAGCCCCTAGACCTCAGTGGTGGTGGGTCTCTCCTACTAGTTACAGGCAGATTAAAAACTAAGATCTAGATTTCTGGGTTTTGCGTTTTTTTGTTTTTTTTTAAGCTCTGCCCCAGAGCAGTCAGCTGTATATGTGAAAACAGCTTCCAGCACAAGGATCAAGATTTTTCACAAGTAACTAGAAATTTTTTTGTGAGGGTCAGTTTTTGGGTGCCAACCTTGAGACATTTTAGAGGAGTCTTTCTCAAAAATGCTGAGCACCTGCCTTCTGAAAGTCAGGCCCATTGAATGCATTTCAAATTGGGCACCCAAAGTCGCTATTCACATCTGAAAGTCTTAGTCAAAGTACTCGGGCCAAATCTCTGCAAACTTCAGTAGGCTTAAATTCCAGCCAAACACACACACACACTGGAAACTTAACAATTCTCTACTTCAAAGTATCATACTGGGTTTCTGTTTTCTTTCAGTGAGGTTTAATGCTCATTTTGGAATTTGTTGATGAAGGCTTGGTGGTCTACTGCAGCACTGAAAACATTAGCAAGACCAGGGTTTCTGTTGGTTTCAGCATAGGTGTAGATAGTGTCAAACTTTTTCTTCCTGAGAGAAGGTAAACCGTTGAAGACGTTTGGACTGTGTTCTTGGTGGCTTCTGGGGAAACTTGTCACTGAGTCAGCAGTGACATGAATAGCTTCATTAGTTGCGTGTCACATGTAGAGCTGGTTAGAAATCTTGTCAAAGTGTAACTTCAGTGAAAGACAGTATTTTTTTCTGACTATCAGATAGTTGTATGGAAGCTTCTGCATGCTGTGTTATAAAACATTGTGGCCAAGGTACGGTGGCAAATGCAGCTATTCTGTATTAACACCCTTCTCTTAAATAAGTGAACAATGTAAGTTTGTACTTTTTATTTGTGTAAGCACAACCATATAGTTGTGTGTTCACTATAAATGCTTGGATTTTTCTACAGGAACCCATTGCAGAAACTTGTCACTTATTTTTAAGGTCCCATAAATTATGTTCTGCAAGAATTGCCTCGCACACATTCTCTGCCTTTGGGATCCATACCTCTTTGACCCATGTGCTAGTAGTGACTTGTATCTATGACCCTTCCTGCATGAAGTGTCATGGGTGTGGTGCTGCCTGACCAAGTCGGAATGGGTTTCAGACCAACAATGGAAGTGATTTAGGGTCTGATCCAGCTCACATTGCTAGAACTCTGTTGCACTTAATGTTGACAGCCTATTACTAAACCTCCTTTTGATTGCACACTGCTTTAGAAATAAAACTTTGGGCCACCTTGTTGAACAAATGTAGTCAGTCTCCTGTGACCAAATCAGTGCTGAAATGTCGTACAGCTTTTTTTCTCATCTATTTTTTCTGTAGTCCCAATCACCATAGTGTGTGTGTGTGTGTGTATATATAGTGTGATCTGTATGTGTCCCTTTCTCTTCTGTATACATAATTGGGCCCAGTCACCCAAAGTTCCCTATCCTGGTAATTGTGGCTGCAACCCCATATCTCCACACAGCATTGCATGACCACATCAGTAGTGGTAAGGTTACCATCTAAATGTGTTTACCCTTTACCATGAGTTATTACTGCTCTGGAAACAAGAATACACTCACAGAAAAGGTGATAGTGAAATAGAAATACTTCTTGATCCATGTATTTAAACAAGATGGATCAGCAATTCAAACAGTACCTGTGAGATAATACCCCAGATGTTAATCTTGTTCTTGGGTGATTCCTCATTTGTTTTTTTTCTCTTTGCTCTTACTTTCTCCCTGGTTTTGTTGGTTTCTTTTGCTCTGTTTCCCTTTCTTCACCTTACATGTATGTCCCTCCTACTATACTGTGCTTCATGCTGATTTCTTCCTCCTCCTATTTGGTAATAGGAGTGTGAGGCCTGCTGTTGCCCACTTTTTCAAGACCTCACAGCTTCTTTCCAGGTGCACCAGTCCCACTTAATAGAATCTTTGGATTCCAGTGTTCTGTCCTCTGTCCTTTTAAAGAAGTCTGAAAATTCTGCTCAGCAAAGTGAGAGAATAATCCCAGTGTAAATGTAGAGATACAATCACTTCCTACTTCCTTTTCTCCTCCTTCCTGTTAGTTACCACAGAGTGTTGTTTTGCCTAATGGGTTATGATACTTGGTTCTGTCACCTCTGTAGCTATAGACCAATCCCATAGGCAATGGCATCTCAAATGTTCTTGATACTATATATAGTATTCCATGTTGTAAATGAACACACAAAATTCAATAAGGGTTAATTTAGCCTATTCAGGACTGCTCTGGCCTGAGACTGAGTGCATTACTATAAGTCATCAGCAGGAGACAACACTCTGGAGAGAGCTCTTTATACAAGGCAAGTAAGCCTGAAGGGTAGCAGTGTGCAGTTGTGACTCTTAACAAGGGATTAATTAAAGAAATGCTTGCTGCATAAAATGGCATGTAAAACGACAGCATTTGTCTCTTAAGGCTTCCGGGTGTCCATGTTTGTCATGCAGAAATCCAGCGTGTGTAAGATATTAGCCACTGGCTTCATGTGTACCCTTGTACAATATAACTATGAAAGTTGTGAAACAACTATGAAAGTTGTGAAACTAGAGTCTTAACTTTCTCCTTTAAGGAATCCTAAGGACCTTGCAATATGAATAATTCTCTGGAGAACACCATTTCCTTTGAAGAATACATCCGTGTGAAAGCACGAACAATCCCTCAGCACAGGATGAAGGAGTTTCTTGACTCTCTTGCTTCCAAGGGACCTGAAGCTCTCCAGGAGTTCCAGCAGACAGCCACCACCACCATGGTATATCAACAAGGTGGAAACTGCATTTACACGGACAGCACAGAGGTGGCCGGATCTTTGCTTGAGCTTGCCTGTCCCGTTACAACCAGTGTCCAGCAACAAACGCAACAAGAGCAACAGATACAGGTTCAGCAGCCACAACAGGTCCAGGTAAACATCTGAATGATCATTTTGAATTTATGCATTAACTTGTAAATCAGTTACAATCGGGTGTCTATATTTGGGATGTGCAACATGCAGGTCAGAATGTAAAAAGTAGGAAAACTTTATAAACACTAGTCTGTGGACACCTAGCTCTCCATGTATCAGAAATGATTTAGTTTTCATATGAGAAGTTTGGTAGATACTGTCTCATGGCACTACTTCTGCAGAGCCCCATTATTGGAGGAGTTCCATTCCTAGCAATGAGGTGATGCCAACTTCCTGAGAAATAGTTAGCAGTTTTGGTGTGTGCGCATCTTCCTCAAACCCTAATTTCATAGGAAGTGGCTGTAAATACCCCATCCCCTCTAGTGGCCTGTTAATTTCTCTTTGCTTGCTGGAATAGTTATGGAAACAACCTCTCATTTTTCTGTTCTTTTCATAGAATAGTTCAGATAGGTGTAGGATACACCTGATAATTTTGGCTTAATTGTTGTTTTTGAGCTGTTTTGAAGTTTTGCTGGTTTTGGGTTACCTTGTGCCTTGCCCAAGCTGCTAAGATCCATCTAAGAAAAGTGAGAGGCGTTCTCCTTGCCCTGATATTTTCTTTTTCTTATGGACCTGAAAAGTGATTTTTGTGCCTTGGGTAGGACCACTCAAACCCAGGTTGAGATGTCTGCAAGGACTTCTCTGAAAGCCTGAGGAGAACTCTGACGCTTTCCTGGGGTATCCAGGATTGTGAGGGACCTCGCTAGCCCCTGCCCTTAGCATGAGGAAGCCTTGTCTGTGCCTGCCAAGGGTCAGCTCCCCAACAAGCACTCCACTCCAGACCTACTCAGCCTCTACTCCCTCTCCTAGGTTAGCAATAGGCACACTCCAACCCTTGAGTCTTCCAAGCCTCCCTCTGGAGTGACAAATCCCTGATGCATCAGTCACTCCCTGAATTCACAGACCCACTGCTCCCAAAGCAACAATAGACACCAGCTTACCAGTTTCATTGTTCTGTTCAACACACAGCACTCAGATCTGTTTATAGTGCAAAGAAGTGAAAGTTTGTTTAATGAAGTATAGAGATTCAAGAAGTAGTAAGTCAGAGTATTGTAAACAAATGGTTATATATTCAATAAAATCATGATATGCCTTCTCAAGCCTAGATTTAGGTAACAAGATATACTGTCTTGTCTAATGAATTAGCTTACCTGGTCTTTGCAGAGTTTTCCAGCCAAGTTGGTTTTGACCCTCCTTGCATAGAATAGAACATGCTGACAGTTCATCTCTCCTCAGTGAAGGACGAAGGTTGCCTTTTTGCATCCAAAGGTATACCCCCAACAATCCATTGTCTTTACTTGTAAACAGGACACCCCCACCCCCCACTGGTATTTTTTTTCCTGCGTGCTGCTTTCTAGTTGATTTTACAATATCGATTAGTATTCGGCTCAGACTATAGATAGACCACCAGACAATATGCATATGACCAGCCAGAGAGAGATGCGCATCTCCTCTTCCCTCCTACCTGACAGGAGAAAATTTATCACCATTTGGTGACTTGCCTTAACTTGCGTATCTTAAGAACATAATTTTCAGCACAGAAACAGAACTTCTTGAATATTACCTGGAGATACATTTCACAATGACTGTTGATTCTCGGTAGAGTCCTTACATCCCACCCTCTGGTGAATTATTATGCCTATAAGTGACCCAGAGGATCCCTGTAAAACCCAATGAATCCCCTGGGTTCCCTCTGTCAGTTGGCATCAAGAGATCCCTGGGTCACAAGGACTATGCTGTGGACTCTGTCCCTGCAAACGGCTGATAGCCTGTGAGTTTAGGAGACCTTTCCTAAAATGGACCCCCTGGACACAAGTGGCATGGCCCCTGTGCCTCCCTTAGTGCAAAACCTCAATGCAAATCCCAGGCTAAAGGGGGCCATTCTCTTGTAAAGATATCCTGTAGGGAACCTTTGAACTGTTTACAGGATGTTTCCAGGGCCTGAAGCTGGGGTCAAGGAAAACCCCTCTTGTGTCTTTCGGAAACCACTGATACAGTGTGGAAGGAAGGAGGGACTCCAGCAGGGATCCTGTTGTTGACTCTAACCAGACACCATGGAAATGGCTTTCCAAGATCTTGATGGTCACAAGAAGGGTAGGATTGTCTTATGAATGGTCCAACAGACCCAGATACATACGGAAGGGCGACCACTGGTTCACCGTGGCCAAAGCACCAATAGTCAACGCTCTTTGAAGGCTCTGGTGGAGGGAATGTCAACATTCAAAACCATCAGTGCTAAGCCTACTAATTCTATGTGGAGTCACTCTTGGCTCCTTTGTACCTCCTCCTCAGATGTTGTCTGAACCCCTTTCTTCTGTGCTCTGAGTGACACCAGGGCCTTTCAGAACACAGTGGGCCAAACAGCATAGCTCTGGGGATTCCTTTGGCAGCTTTACCTAGAAAGTCAGACGCTGACATCTTGGAACTCCAGGAGAAAGTAGCCCTCCTATCAACAAAGATCTTCTGGAACCATAACCTTTCTACTTCCTTGATTTCTAGGGAGCTGCATTCTTTCTACTGGGCCCTAACAGAAGGGTTTGAATTATCCTTCCAGCATCCTCCCTCAGGATCACTTCTGGTTTTGGCTACAAGTGGAGTAGTGGTATTTACTTCTGGGGAAAGGACTATATGTCAGAACAGCTTATTCCTCTACAACAGTGACATTGAGTCTCTAACTGCTATCTTAACTGTTATGGCTCAGTATAGCTTTTTATAGTCTAGGATAACTATATATGGGCCCAGCTCATACCAAGGGCAAAAATCAGGAGGGCACTGAAATTCTTAAGACAATTCTGAGACATTTAAGCATTTTCTAAGGTGGTCTTACACATCCCAACATCGCTGCCAGGTCACCTACCGTGGTTGTGATTCTCATCCTCTTGGCAGCAAAGTTCAGCTCTTTCCATAGTTTGAACCTAAAATAATGGATTTTTCCCTCTTAAATAAACTGATCTCAAAATCTAAGAGAGATGCTGTTTTTGAGAAATAACGGCCACAAGATTCATGGCCAGATTGCTTGTATTGGGTCAAGTATCTCCCCACAGTCATCTTTAAACTGCTTTGGTTTGCTTATCAGAGTGTTTTGTCCCCATCAGAGCAAACAAAGGTCTTCATCCTATGCTGTCTCAGCAGCAGGTGGGCTGTGTCGAAGCAGCAGATTTGAGAGAGAGAGTGGGTGGGTGGGGAGGGAACCAGAATCCATGGTAAGATTCAGTTCCTTATCGTTACTCTTCTATCCCTCCCTTTAAGAACCATTAGTGCCAGACTCTTCATGGATGATGAGCTACTGCTCTTCATCCTGCTGGGGCCTGGGGATCCTGGAATGCTCTTTGGTTACAAGTTTCTTCAAAGCTCAAATCCCTTTCCCTTTCAGAAGAAACTGCTCCTGACCCTGTTGAAAATGAGTCATAGAAACTGATAGTCTCCCCAGAGGAAAGGCTTTGTTCCTCATGTTTACTGATCCCCAAAATAAAGGGTGGCAGGTGCCCTGTATAAGACTTCAGCAAGTTGATCAGGTATCTAATGAAGATCAAATTCTGCATGATTTCTTTAAGGAACATAGTTCCTACACACATCCGTTGGTCTGGGGCCCTTTTACTTCGAAATATCTGCCTCCACTTCTTGAAAAGGCACAGGCAGTATCTCTGGTTCATGGTGGACAGTATAAGATGCTTCCCTTTGGACTGGTAGCATCCCCCAGTATGTTCATCTAGTGCTTGATGGTGGCTGCAGCTTATGTGCAGCATCAGGGTCTGCAGGCTTACTCATACTTGGACAACAGGCTCATAAGAGCACAGTCTTGTAGCAGGGGTAGTTCAGGCCCTGGGAGACTTGCACCCTTTTTTGTCTCTTGGGGTGAGAATAAACAGAGGAAGTCTACATTGGTCCCATCTCAGCAGCTAACCTTCATAGAGGCCATCTTAGTTTCTATAAGGGCTTTAGTGTTCCTGCCTCAGGGCAGGTTCCAAATTCTCCTCTTGGCAGTGGAACTATTCCGGTTCAGAACAGAAGGATTGTCTGTAAGTGTTAGAACTGATGGCACTTGCTCCTTTTGTTCCGTCCTGTTCAAGGCTAATGGAGGTGACCCTTGCAAGGGTAGCTGAATTAGTTGTGCAAACCAAGTTTGCACAACTTAGGCACAATAGTAGTTCTCGAGGAAGGAGCTGATTTGTCAGCCTGCTGCTCAGAAAATGATAGCTCGAGTCCTTGGTCTGGGTCCAGGAGTATATCTAGGATCTGACTGTTGATGGTGTCTGAAGACCTAGAGAGTTGAGGCTCTACATAAATAGAGCTCTATGCAGATATAATTTTGTTTCCATGCAAGGCTCTACACACAAATTTGATAGAGCCAAGAATTCTGTGGCTAGTTCTGACTTTCTCCTACGCTTCTGGAGGCAACCAGTGCATAATGTCATACAACATGGTCACAGTGTACTATGTGAACAGATACCAGGGAGCTTTGTTGCCTTTGTGTCAAGAGGTGATCCATCTGTGGAAAAGGTGCACTAGGACCAAAGGGACACCTCCCCTCTCCATTCATATGTGCCAGGTGCAGTCAGACAAAACTTTAGCCAATAACCTGAGTTGTCTGGCTGTCGCTCACCACATGTAAACTTGTTTGATAGCAGGTAGGGATCCATAATGTCTGTTAGTGTCTTCCATTGATGCTTAGGGAAAAGGGGTCCTTTATGCTTTCCTCAGTTTCCTTTCTTACCCAGATAGTGAGGAGGATCTGACCGAACAGAACCAAGGTGATTTTCATGGCAGTGGCTTGGGAATCAGCAGGCCTAGGTCTGACAGTCCGGGCCAGAGATCATCCATTTTTCTTGTCCTCTCCTGTCCCAGCGGAACAGAAGGTAGTTCATCCAGACCTTGCATCGGACCTGCTGAATTTCTAGGTCAGGCTATCTTGTGCTTGCCTGTGGGGCATTCAAGGCAATTCTGTTAAAGTGCAGAAAGTA